ATTTCAATTATTTGATTTACTATTGATGAACATGGTTTTATAATTTCCACGTTTATCGGAGCATTTGAAACTAACTGATTTTGAAGTCATCTAGGCACATGCTCCATAAACCTTAATTGCATTGTTTAATCACACGTCCCTATATATGCGGACCCACACAAATCTGTGAAATAATTTTGAAAAGTTTCACTTCTATCATGACCAATTATTGATAATGTTGTCCAAAAGAGTGATAACAATTTTGTAATTAATGGAATACTGTTATAACTTGTGGCCTTGTGCCTTATTAATACATAACGTAATGATGCCACCTATTAGAGAACAGTGCTTTGTCGGCCAGACCAATGACGCACAAAACCGTACGAGTAGTCTAGATTCTTAATCGGTCCTTCTTCCTGCCTATCCCTACCTTTTAAGTCCAGAACACAAATCTCAGGTCCGCGATATGAATCATGCATTTCAGACATAGTGAGTTTATACATAAACCAAACAGACCACATCGTACCATAAAATGGAAAATAACATTTGTACAAGATCTAGCCAAAAGTAGCTGTGATTGTGGTGCACTGTAATTAATGAACTGGGCATAAATTGAGGATGGCAATTCGTATAATAATAGCCTATAAGTCAAAATAAAGCTTATAATAAGAATATGAAATACTACAATGGAAATACTGCAAAACAACTGTTTAATGAAACAATCATTTCAATAAAATACAAATTAGTTTACCAACGAATAACCAGCTATTTAAATTTCATGTTTCCCACATATCCCTTCTAAAAATTTAGCAGGAATCTAATCTTAACCATTTTTAATATGATTATTCTTTCTATCTTTTCCAAGGCATGTCTCATAAAATCGATGACATTTCCGATATAGGAGATCTAGATCTGTTGAATATTAGTATTGGAAGACGATTATCTAACAATGATACCAATAGACCATCAATTCGTTCCATAACTGATAAAATACCATACAGAACTTTTGTAGACGGAGCTGAATATGCAAAACAGGTAGTTTATTTGTTTGACTTAGCACTTGTTTTAAGCTAGCACGAAATGTTCTGGGAAACAATACTAAATGTAAGGACATTAGCTAATTAGATTATCACAATAATGTATACTTTGATATACACTTTTGACTTGTTGAAAACAGTAAAAGATTTGGATATACACTCTTGACATTTTTTTCTCAACTACGTTCATTTCCCCAAACGATTTCGTTCATTATATCAGAGCAGTTTAGCGATCTTTGTTTACTACGACGTCATCTCAGTGAACAATACCACTTAGCTAATTGTGGTCGATTTAGATACTTCAAATTATTCCACCTGTATAAAAATATTTATTTATCGGTATTGTTAACCTGATGAGGATTAATGTATACATTAGAGTTAATTGGTTGAGTCCGTCTAGGCATATTACGTGCCTATGCTCACATGCCATCTGAAAACCCAACCGTAGATGAAAAATTAGAAAATAGACAATTTATTGGAAAAAACTGATTATGCCCCTAGTCAGGATCTCAGCCTACATGTCCATGTCTAGATCAGAAGGATATATGTATACGCCTCAATTGTTTATTTACCTACTGATTTATTTTCTCAGTTCAAGCTTCTCAGTCAGGCATTCCATTCGCATGGCTGGATGAGAAAGCCTACCAGAAGTGTATGTATTGACATAAAACGTGGTGGAACTTAACAGTTTATTTTTTTATCACACTGAAGTAAACTGGAAAACAATATTTCAGCAGAGACCTAAAGTTAATATCTTTTCATATAGGTTAATTCTAATTAGCATTTGACTGATTAAATAATTTAAAAAATATTGTGTGTGAATAATCGAGTATTATTTAGCTGGAACACTAACCAGAATCGAAGATTTTCGACGATTAAACATTCTGGTTACTTATATTTTTTTCAAATATATATCTCCCACTCTATTCATTGTTACTAAAATTATAGTAAGTAAAATAATTTATCTTTGATAAGGCCAAAATCATGAGCTTTATTTCCGTTAAAAGACATGATACCTTTATAGTGACCTGAAATTTCAAGGTGAATATGTAATAACAATCAGAATTCCACCCAACAGTTTATACCTTTTCTGTACAGCATCTATGGTTATGTTGGTACAATCACACCAAATTATAAAAGACAGCAGTTTATTGGTATTTACAGTACCATAAATATGGAATAGAATATCTATAAAATATTTCAACAATACCGGCACTGTATTATACAGCCAAAAAATATGTTACAAAAAACTCGTAAAATTGAATCCATAGTATAACAAACTGATATTAGCGAGAAATAAAGCAAATTATTTGTCAAAGAGAAAAAGCGTTCCAGATAAACAATCAGGTAGTCGACCAACTCACCCAAGCACATCGAAACCAGTATGGCTTTCGTTAGGGATTTACGGTATCATACAAAAGTACGAATCCCACAGAACCAAAGTTGTAGAAAAAAATACTAATAACATCGTCTGAACTAAATATTTAAGCCATCCAAATGGTTGGATGGAATAAGAGCAATGAGGTTTTACAAAACGTCAAATAAAAGATCGGTAATATAGAAAGCATACCGGCTGGATTCTATACCACACATAAAGTATGTCGCATTTTCATACCGACTCAATATCCCATGGTGCATTTTTCAACCTCAGTGAATTCCCAAAGTATGAATCGACCATTCAGTGGAATGGATATTAGCTGACACGATTAAACTTCAGCATAGTACCCAGTAACAACTAATTTTGGTTTGTTTCATGAATGTTATTTACCATTTAGACGTTTTTCCATTAATTTTTCAAACCAAATCTTACAGACCTCGTTTTATAATAAGCAATGTGAATGAAATACACTTTTCATGTTATCATTATCGTTCTTATTTTGTTTCAAGATATACAGTATCTTAGCTGACAGACGTCGTACTGGACATTTTCCATTATTTGTCGCTGTTCATCGTATTTGTCAGAATGAAATAAAACCACAAGAATTAATTACATGTTTACAGTCACATCCTATTCATGCTTAACTATTACTTATGAGCAACAAGCCAAAATAAACGCAATTTATGCTATTTTTCATTTTTGCTATTATGAGTTTCTTACTGTTTTAAGTACAAACATTCGAAAATAGGACTTCATTTCTTATTTTACAAATTCTTGCTTTTTCTATGAATTTCAGCCATTTAATGTGATTTTGCACAATTATACATGAAATGAGATTATACTCTTTTCAATCCTTTGCAATATACTTTTGTTTTACTTAGCCAACTAATTAAGCCGATTCGTATCGGTTGGATTATCATTACAGTTTTTGCTGCTCACACTATGATTTTGCTACATCTTTAAAATAAATAGATTAACTGTTATGGGAAAATAACCATTGGATTACAATTTAAATTTTCGATATGTCTGTTAGATAATGAAGCATTTACGTGTTATGCTGTTTCTCTTTGATAAGACAGTCAAGTTTTTTATGTTACGTATGATCTAATTATTCAGGTTGTCCAATCTTCCATGGGTCGTTTGTTTATCTATGATGTCTTGCGGAATGAACGCTATAATCCGTCCCCTAAGCTATGCTGTAACCCCCAAGCTAGAACTATACAGCGACCTGAACACGAAAGAGAATACTCAAAGTATGCGAGAAGTAGTTTACTCCAAGGTTCATTTTAATACAGAAAATACAGGGGTTTTATAATATTCTGAATGTCCTTGGGTTGCTAGATTTTGGAATGCTACTAAACATAGTAGCAGTGTAGCAATCAGCCAGTCAGAACCTCTACATGTGACGTTTCGCTTCCTTGATATTTTTGGCAAAAACTTCAAGTGAACGCTGATTGGACGAAACGCGTCTTAGTGATTCCTGATGCTTGCTTGTCTTCTGCAAGTAATTTTCTGGATCACTCCAACAATCTACTAATCAAATTTTAATTCCAGTTGTTTGGTAGTGACATGAGATCTGGATAAATATTAGTGAAAATGACTAAGTAGGCACATTATAATTGTATACGGTAAAACAAATTTTCGATAATAACCTCTGAAGTGTTATACCAGTTCACTTTCTTATATACGCCGTAAATCAAACTCTATCAGTTCGAACAAAATACGTACTAAAACTTACAAAAAACGTTTCATATTCTTAATGATATTGCATATAAACGTTTCTTTCTACAAATGATCTATTTTATGTGATGATCAATCATAAGTAAATACGATACAACGAAAATGTTGGAACAAATATAACATAGAACCGTCATATAGCACAAATTAGGAAAAGCACGATTTGTATTGGATCATTAAAACAAGAATTATTAAGTATATCCAGTCAACAATTACTAACAGCTGGTTCTCAGTAATTTATAAAAACAAACAAAACTGAATTTTTGAGAAAATTATTATACAGCATAAAAATATGAGTAGTTACTATGCAGAATAATCACTGATTGCTATTTAACCCCAAAAGGGGATTGGAAATTTGGAAATGCAGGTTAGACTAAATGATATGAATCTAAAACCAATAAGGATAATATTTTGTATAAAACTGTCTACTTTGTTACATTACCTACTTTAACATGTTTACTGAATAACAAAATCATTTTATGTAACCTATTCTAATTAGTATCCAACACATAATTCATTTAGTTCAGTTTAAATTCTCATATCATAAAGCACCTTACTATCTATTCATTTCAAAATCATCAAACCAGTAAATTTTTCAATTGTCTTTTACAAAAAAAGAACGAAGAATAAGACATTCAGATTTATGCAAAAACATTTCGAAACAATAAAATAAGTTCAGTAAAATACACGCATAAATGTTGCTACAAAAGATTAAAGTGAAGATAATACAAAGTGTACAAGATACAAATATCATGAGGTAAGTATTAAAAACTATCAAACAGAAATCTGTCAAACTGTTAGGGTAGTCAGTTCTGACAATTACTATTCATCGTTTAAAAAAATACAAATATTTCATATATACATTTAATTTAATCACTATATTTTAAAAATTCCAGTAAAGAACGTTGTCGTTGTCTATTGTTGTTAGCAGATGAAGTCTTTTTCAATTGACTCTTTCTTTGGTTAGAATGTTTAATATTTTGTTGTGATCTTCTTTCGTACCTATTCACTTCTTGTGAATCTCGTTTACTGCTTCTTTTAATAAGTAAGTCGGTGCGTACATCCCCAACACCTAAGAATTAAAAAGTATGTATATCCATGATGAATTTTATTCAATGAATTGTTTGTTAAACAAACATAGAATTTAAAATATTAGAAAAAAAGGAAATGACAGAAATAATCACTCTTTTAAAAACAAGTCAAGTTATATTCAAACGGTATATTACGATTACGATACGTTCATGTTAGTGTATATTTATAATTTAACTAGTCTCAACTAGGAAAAACAAATAGAAAGACTCCATACTGAAGTACACTTTAAAAACATCAGTTTATTGAATCATTTATTTAAATAAAGCGATAAGAAGAAGATCACGAAATTCATTATATTTTACGGCTTCTTATTAGCTTCTCATACAACCTTAATTTACATTATTAATATTACTATCAAAAATGTATATATACTGTACGTAATCAATGAAGTTCAGTTTGAAATCACATGAGAAACAAGAGACAATATATTTAACATAATAGATAAGATTGATTCAGATTTCGCATGTTGAGGACGAAGTTGTAGATGATGATGAAGAGACGATCAATAAAAATATTGTTAATAAATAAATGGTAATTAAGGCACCTAGTTGACATACAATTTAAATTAACATAGTGAGTGAATATCGGTGGAAATAGTCTTAAGTCAAAAAGTATAATAAACAGATAATTTAATTGACGAATGTTAAAATAATATAACTATCTTATCATGATAATGAGAGGTTTACTACAATAGCTTTCTGTATACAAAAATCAGGTCAAAAGTGCTTGATGGCAGTAGCCCTTGCAAAGTGGAATAAAAGTAGTGTTCACTGGTAGTTAATTATTTTAATTCTGTATAATCGCCACACTTTGTCATCTATTCATTAAATATCTAATAATAGCACTGGTGAATATTCTACATCCTTTCAAACACAACTTGAGCGAAATATTTTTCGAAAACCTTGTAGACGCCATTTTAATCATAGTCCTTCCCAAACACTTGCTTCCGCAAGTACATGTAAATTCTAAAGATGGCCTTAGAAGGGAACTGACCAATTTTTATTGATTTAAGGAAAATCTGTTCTATCTTTAAAATACTAGAACTGCAGGAAATCTTTTTTAGCGCTGGTTTAGTACTCTTATCAATTCTACCTGAAATCTCCATTTTGAATCACAGATGAAGACAGATTTATTGTTAACAACTGTGTTTGGGACTTCCTGTACTTAATAAGAGACATCTTTCTGTACTTTATAGGTTGAACACAAGCTCCTATTAAATGGGATTTAAAATAAAGTGTTTGTAACGGAAAGGACGAAAAGTATTATGACTTAAGTATTGCCTCGTTCATGTAGAATGAATTTATGTTATTCCGCAGATCTTGTTTTTCTCGCATTATCCAAGATATATATATATATCCTTTAGCTTTAATATGTTCAAAGTTTATTACAGTGGTTTTCCACTTAATATACATAAAAACTGGTACAACTAACTGGGCATTAAAAGCGAATGCACCATACAAGCAACAAACTAACGTTGTGAAGAAATGAGCATTTATAGAAGAGATATTTTTTGGTCTTTTCCAGAAGTTTGTGAAATATACATATAAGATGCAGTATTCAACCGAAACTTCCTTACGTGATCATCAGCATTTGAAATATGTACGCATGATAGAAATTCTAAAAATTTTTAGATAGATTTCATAGGCTTTGTTTATTGAACCACCAGACCATAGATAGGTTGTATTATATATTTTAAAGAGAATTTGAAAGACTTGTAGAATATGTTCGCATGGTCACTGATACCGCAATATTGGATTCATTTATATTAGAATTCAAAAAATTGCGAAGATTCGCAGTTGAGGCAACCCCCACCGGAGGTATATGATCTGAACCAAATAGATTACTAGACATACTGTATTGAACGAATGAAAAATAAGTTTGGTCAGTAGGTACTGGATTTGACTACTCGATAATTTCGGCATCATGGTCAATGTTTCGAGTTTTATCTAGGATTTCCTCGGGTCCCAGCTTTACGTCTAAGTGGGACTCATCAATGTTGTCGGTCGTTGATCAGTTATCTGATTCACAGCATACACAGATATTCCACAAGTCTTTCCAAACACTTAATACATCCTATCCATAGTCAGATGATGCAACAAACAAGTACTAAAAATTAACTCAATTTCGATCGAACGTACATGTTCTTAAATGCTGATGATCATATTACGAAGTTTCAACTGGTTATTACATCTTGCATATCGTACAAAGCCCCCTAGAAAAGCTTGGTCAACCAAGTATCTCAGATGAAACATGTCTCTTTTGGTCTAATTTTAATGTACTATTGAACTTAATAATAGAGTTACTGAGTTTAAACGTTGTTTTGCATTTCATTCAAATGATGATATTGGTAATGAAGTATCCTGTGTATTCATTATAAATCCTGATCTAACATTTTCAAACATTCATGCTATACCTAAAATATCTACGTGTACAGGTAGATGCAGATTTACGTCAAGATATTATAGAAAGCCTTCAGAATCATAATGACCATATCACTGGAAACACTCGATTTGCATCAACCAGATTCAACTCTTAGGAGAATCAGAAGACGAAATAGACTACAATAAAATATCACCCACCTGAATCAGCCCATATAACAGGTAGATACTTTTCAAGAGCAGGGCTGATGAGCTGGGCGAACCAAGGCATATCACATATCTGTACTCACATGCCGGTAGGTAAGAGATTGTAGTAAGGAACACTACATGTCTTTGTCTATGTTAGAGGGATATATATATGTATACCGATTGTTAATGTACACTTTATTCCAGTTAAGCAATTACACATTCTTACTCATTTCACATAGCGGGTTCGGGCTGACGAAAAGCAAGCATAAACACAGGGATAGAAAGATAGTTTTTTGTTGTTGCGGCAGTGATGATGGTGAGAGTACCGATAAACCTGTTGACAAGTGAACAGAGGACAATACTATCTGAATTCTTACCACTAATTTTAACATTTTCTTCTGTGAATAAAGTCCTTGACCGTTTTTTTTTCAGACCAGACAATTTAGTTGGAGTTCCATGTTCGGAATAGCCGCTACTAAATTGGTGTAAAAAAAGTCGGAAACATAACTCTGAAAAATCAATTCGCAACCTCACAAAGACACGAGTAGTTAATAAATATGGTATATATATATATATATATATATATATATATATATATATATATAGAGAGAGAGAGAGAGAGAGAGAGAGAGAGAGAGGAGAGGAGAGAAAACTTTAAGTGTAGGATGAAATGTGAGGTTGGCTGAGAGGTTCGAATCGTAAGTATTTGGTTATCAGCTGCCAATTTTAAGGGACTTAATAATATAAGTATCAAGCTCTCCACTTCTATGAGGTGCTCGAGATGAGACTTATAACAATATTTCTTGCTGCAAAATTTACCGGAATGAGTGAATACTTGATCACACAAATTAACTAACTCGTTCCGAGTAACTGTAGTGTTCACTTATGCAAATATACGGTTATCGAAGTATGTGAATATATGCTTTCCAGAGTTTGGGAAATACTGTGTGATTTGTCCAGTCTTTTGATCAATAGATATTTTCAATAATCAACTTTCTTTATTCAACAACAATGTTAAAAGTCTGAAACTTGCTGAAATACCAAAACCTAGCAATGAACACCACTGGTAAGTGATATTTTCATTATTTAGTTACTTCAAAAAGTATCAAAACTGATTTAAATAACAGAATTCAAATTGATTAAATGAATAACTATCGCAGATCTTTCTTCTACTTAACGTCGAAATATCAGGAGCAGGTTCAAGTCAGAATTTGCGACAATTTACGAGATTTGAAAGTAAAATTGAAATTTTCCACTACAGTATTAAACATCGAAGCCATGTGTGTTTGAAAATCACTGATATATTATGAAAAGGCTAAAAACTCCACTAAACATGAATTGTTGAACATTTTTGCTTTCTTTCTCTGTTTTATTTCGTATCAGTATGATGTAATAGGGTTTGTATAAGGTTGAAAGCAATGGAGATTGTTTTTCGATCAATCAAAATTGAAATATAGCAACTACAGTACGTTAGACATACCTTTTGGATATTTTATTTTCATGTCTTACAAACTTAAATGGAATAACGGAAACAAACATAAGATTACGCAAATGTTTTGAAGAAACAGTGGTTTGATCCTAAGAATATATTGCTTGAACCGCTTGTTTCTTGATATTTCCAATAGAAGCTGCTGTTTTATTTGCAATGCAAGTACATAGTCATAAACGCAACTAAGACATGAAATATCGTTAGGATTGAGAAACGCAGAACACTAGGTAAAGACAGAAATTGGTTGGTGAGGTACTAAAACTTCATTGACTGAAGTGGTTAGGACAAGTAATATATGTCCTTAACTATCGCCTACTTCAACGCGCTAGTTTAGGAGTAAGTTGTAAGAAAACTGAGACCAAACTAAGACGCAACATAAATTCATGAAGTTAATGACTGTTAGATTGAGCAGTGTTGATAGGTGCAGATAATCTGGCTGAGGTCCACGCGTTTACAGTAACCAATAATTAGACACGTTGAATGATATGACTCAGAATCAGCTGTAGTAGTGCAGATTTATCAACTTTTTGTCTTCCTTTACATCACAAACTATAAAATGATCTCATACTTCATATTTTCTCAAAATTTTTTTCTTGCACCATTTCGTATATGTCTAGTCTACATCCTACCACTGATATTATTACAACTACTATTCTGCTACTTGCCTTGCTAATTTCATCTCGTTGTACTAATGTGATGTTGCAACTTGAACCGGGCCAGGTTTTACGCTACTTATAGATGATTGATTTTAAACACATTCAGTATTTACAATATGAACATAATGATAGAAATATTAGTAATAATTTAACACACTTACTTAATGAATGATATATTGGATTGTGAATCTTCATTGACAACTTGCCAACATGGTAATGAACTGGTTTCATTAATGGAGTCAGCAAAACTAACTAATGGAGAACAATGACCGCTAACCCAATCTAGGTTAGATTGATAATGAGACATGAAAGTTCGTTTAGGCTATAAAAGTAAGCAGTAAATAGCTAGATACTGATGAGAAAACTTGTCGTGAGGCAGTTGCATGCTGTTACCTAATGCAGCTGACTTTTCCATCTCTCTTGCTTTCGGCCCCCAAATGCCCTGGTATGGCCGAGAGCGGAGTGGGTCCGCCCTCCCTCTCGAGATACTCTCACACGGCCATGTGTATACAACCTCTGCCAGGGAAGTCCTACTCACTGCCTTCTCGTGGCGGGGGTGTTGTTTACGAAAATGAGACGACGAAAAGCAAATGTCCGGCGCTTTAACAGGATCCCGAACCAATGGTGCACATGGGCTCCAGTATCCTGCAGGAACAAATGGCGTATGAATCAATCGTTGGTCACCGGCTACCATGGGACTGCATCTCCTCACGATGCTCCACTGCGTTGTGGGTTAGACCTATAGGTCAAAGGCTCGAGGTGTGGCCCCCTAAGATAACCACCTGCTTCGGTTTGGGCACCCGGGCAGTATCACAGCCCACACGCAAATGATGAACTCTCTATAAATATGGAAACTACTTTTCTCGCTTCGAATAACAATCAAATGATTCAAATTATTATCATTACTATTACTGTGCCAGCTGGCGTCATCCCTCTGCATCTCAAGCCTGGACTCAGATTGATCACATCGCGATCAGCTACCGCTGGCGTGGTTGTGTACAAGACTGCCTCTCCTTTTGGAGTACCTATCTGGACTCTGATCATGCTTTGGTCTGCGCCAATCTTACCTTACTTTCCAGTGGCCAATGAAGTGACCGCCATCAACGGATTGATGTTAGCAAGCTGATTGCAACTTCTGTTGCTAGTAAGTTACAAATCACCTGGCTCAGATGACTTACCTCCGGCTCTTTTTAAAGATGGTAGTGACTTTCTGACTAAGGGACTGACGACATTGTTTACAAAGGTTTGGGAACTAGAGAGTGTACCAATGTCATGGAATGAGTCAACAGCTGTCCCTATCTTTAAAAAGGGTTCACGTCGTTCCTGTGACAACTATCGGGGGATAGGTCTACCTCCAATTGCGTCCAAGCTATTGGCTTCCGTCGTACTTCGTAGGTTGTTCAAAACCCGAGAAAGATTGACTTGCGGGGATCAGGTTGGTTTTCGTTCTGGTCGAGGATGTATTGATCATATCTTCACCCTCCGCCAAATGTTAGAACACCACCATACTTATCAAAGGCCAACAATCGTAGTGTTTCTTGACATCAGAGCTGCCTTCGATTCGTTGGACAGGGCTGTTCTCTATGATTGTCTATTGAAGAAGGGTGTGCCTGAGAAGTTTATTAACATCCTAAAAGCCCTATATACAAACACCTCAGGTAGAGTGAGGGCATACAACCACCTTTCTCCATTGTTCCATTCGAGCAGTGGGGTTAGACAGGCTTGCCCAATCTCACCATTCCTCTTCAACTTCGCCATCGACGACACTCTGGAAACAGTTCTGATGGATGCAAGTAATGGCGGTGGGAATCTGTTGCCTGGAGAAAGACTTCTCGACCTTGAGTATGCGGATGATATTGTCTTACTGAGTGATAATTCCCAAGCCATGCAATCCACACTTAATCAGGTGGTAATCAGTGTCCGTAGGTACGGTATGGGCTTTGCAGCTCCGAAATGCAAAGTACTTTTACAAGACTGGCAGGATTCTAATCCTGAACTCACTCTGGATGGTGAGCAGACAGACGTAGTCGAGAAGTTCGTGTATCTGGGTAGCTGCATAATTGCTGGTGGTGGCGTGAGTGATGAGATCAATGCACCTATAGTAAAAGCCAGAGATGCTTATGCCAATTTTGGCCATCTTTGGCGCCTTCGTGATGTCAGTCTGGCTGTAAAAGGTCGGATCTACAACGCGTCAGTGAGGGCAGTTTTGCTCTATGCTTGTGAAACCTGACCTCTCCGAGTTGGGGATGTTAGACGACTCTCTGTGTTCGATCATCGTTGTCTCCGAAGGATTGCTGACATTCAGTGGCAACACCATGTTAGTAATGCAGAGGTTCGGCATCGTGTGTTCGGACATAGAGACGATAATCCGATTGGTGTCACCATCTTGAAACACCGACTTCGGTGGCTTGGACATGTTCTACGAATGTCGTCCCAGAGAATTCCACGTTGTGCATTATTTGCCGACTCTGGGACTGGTTGTAAAAAGCGGAGAGGTGGTCAGTGTAAGACATGGTGTCGTCGTATGAAAAAAAGCTGCAAAGGGCTGGCTTGTGTTGGTCCTTCACGACTCCCTGGCTGGGGTCCGAGAGATGATGCAACACGGTGGCTAGAGACATTATCAGATATGGCTCAGAATAGAGGCCAATGGCGATCCTGCTGTAACCTTCTTTTACTTTCTTCATAAAAAAGTGGTTGTGTCTTCCTTAACTGAAAGATTATTATTATTATTATTATTATTATTATTATTATTATTATTATTATTATTATTATTATTATTATTATTACACTACCATACACTAGTCTGTCGTCCTTATTGTTCCCTTTCTTCTCTCTTATACGCACCTTACATTCTTTTTCTCTTCCCATTGTCATTGTTTTGTGTGGCGCATATATATCTGGTGCCCCCTTGTACCAATATTTATGTGTTCAAATAAATAAATAAATAAACCGAAGTAGATGGTTTTCTTTGGGAGTCATATCCGGATCCTTTGACATTAAGGTTTAATCAACAAGGCAGTAGAGCAACGCCAGGAGATGCAGTCCCATGGTAGCCGATGACCAAAGATTGGTCCATACGCCACTTGTTCCTTCAGGATACTGAAGTCCATTGGTTTGGAATTAGGGTTTTTCAACCCACCTAGGTAGACTCTCTGTGTCCACCAATCCGGTTAAAGCGTCAGACATTCGCTTTTCGTCCTCTCAATGTCTTTAAAAAATACACCCCCGCGACGAGAAGGCATTGAGTAGGACTTCCCTGGCAGTGGTTGTATGCATGTGGCCAGGTGAAAGCATTTCGAGAGAGCTTCTCTCCCCACCAATGTACAGAAACAAATCAGGAAGGGTAAAGAGAGTAACCTTTTGTTATCAGTGATATTCTGCAGACAATGAAAAAATTGTTGCATACTAATTATGGGGTATACATCATCAATGTATTGAGAACTGATGATGGACCACTGAGAATAAGCTGTACATAAAGATGAAGGTATCGGGGACTAAATGTCTAGCTGTACAATGGAAACACTACAGCATCATATGCTAATCGTTTTTATTTCTGATACAACAGAATGGTGTTAAACTGGCTATGGAGGTTTGTGTGTATGGTGATCCAATGCTTTTTCATGGTAGCCTGTGACTAGTATAGGTTAAGTCCTTGAGCCCATGGATAGCATTTATTTGGGAGTTAGGGTTTCGCAACTCTCTTAGGTGGTTATTCGTATCCACCAACGAGGTTTATGTGCCGGATATTCGTTTTCCTCCTTTCACTTTCGCCAATCAATAATTATGAAGAGACTTCAATTTGATCATTGGATAATGCCTTAGTTCAGCAATTTGTAATCATGTATACAACGCCTAAGCTACCTCGGCTGAGAATGTTGAGGACAGTTGTTTCTACAGAAACGTTCATATTTGGTAACAACATTTAAATCATCCTTAAAATAGACAGTAAATATGGAGTTAGTTTTTCAACATGTGGTCCCATTAAAAAATTGGTTTTTCTGACTAGAACACATTTTATGTAAATCATTACAGTGTTTGCTGTACCAATCATTGATTAGTAAAAATGAAGATAAGGTCAGTTACGATGCGACATAATAGGATAAAAAACGAATGTGTTGAAATAGGTAACTGTTAGAGCATTCTGTTTGTCTTCATAAGCTACGAGACAATGCAATCAAGTGGATTTAGACTCACAAATCCTTTATTCGAACAGTGTTAGACGATTGGAGGTAGTCGACAGGAAACCGTACTTAGGTTTTATGCCAGCTAACAGTCGTTAGCAAATTGCACCTGCAATCTTGAGGGAACTGATAGTTTCCATAAGATTCAAACAAGTGTCACTTAACTTTGCAGTCTGAAATATTACCGCCAAGCTATTCGGGTCATAACTGTGAGTGCTGGTCGAATTTCATCAATCAAATTGGAATGTGGCCACTACTCTAAGTGATTAAACATTGCATGCAGTACTTTGAGACGATATGTGCTAAGAAGTTACAGACAGAAACATCAATAACTTTACGAGGCCATTATATTAAACAGTAACGTCAAAAAGTATTTTCAGAAGGGGTTTTGTGGAGATTTTAGAAATTTCACTGGTTGAAATCATGAGTCAATTGAAGCTAGACCACCATGGAAAACCTGGAAGCACTGGACGGCTGTTTTGTCCTAGTATGGGACTCCTCATCAGTGCGCATCCACGACCTCGCCCCCTGCGAGATTCGAACCCACGACCTACTGGTTTCGCGCGCGAGCATTTAACCATTAGACCATTGAACCGGCCGGCATCCAACGGTGTTAATGTCTAACTTCAACCAATCCACGAAGTTGAGCCACCGTACACCATTGGCCGTCCAGTGCTTCCAGGTTTTCCATGGTGATCTAGCTTCAACTGACTCATGAATTCAACCAGTGAAAAAGTATTTTGTTTAAAAATATCTGGTTGTATCTAAACAAATCACACGAGAATTCTACAAACCTTACTGGTGTAGAATCGTATTTATTACATGGTGAAATACAGTGTCAAGTATGTTATGTATAGATTCGAAGTCGAGCAGGTGAAGAAAAATATATATGTGCATCATTTACTTTAACTAGAACATACCATTAGAGGAAATTTATTCTCATCATTCATTTTAATTTGTGGAGAAATATGATCACTGGTAAATGGTGATGATTTGTTTACGATTGGTGTAGATGGAGACATAAACATTGGAAGCAGTTTACATGTACGACCATCGGTAGTTGGTGTATTAGACTTTTTCAAGTGATTCGGGGGTGTATTCGAACAATCGTTAAATGAATACGAACTATTTGTCGTTGACAATGAATTGGGATATTTAGTCGAAGCGATTTTCAGTCTTTCAGATTCAGTTACAAGTAATATACGTATGAGTTTAAAGGCTCCTCTACCTCGTAAACTTCCTCCTGCATGTAAGGGCTGGTACACAGGATAGAAAATAAGGAAAATTGACATTCAAATTGTAGACGAAATATAAAGTCGGATGAAAAATAAATAAGACTACACAATTGAGAGTCATACAGAATAAACTATTCGGAAATATTATTACTATTAACTCACTTACCAGGTGCAAATTTATGTACTTGATTTCGAGTCACACTTTGAGCCTGAGGGCTAGTGATACTACCTGGCTGTCTAAGATTAAAGTAGGTGGAACGGGATCCTAACCAGAGACGTATTGATTGAAGGTAGAACACCTTAACCACTGAGCCACTGTTCTATTTCAGAAGCATAGATCACCATGGAATTCTAAGGTGTAGTAATGCCGCTACAAATGGTCAGTCAGTCATAGACAACTTAAGAAGTAGGGATTAAAATACACATCGGTTTAATTTGCAATACCAATGTTAGCACAGGGAGGGTAAATTATCAGGGAGAACACGAAAAACCCTGTAATCATCAGCAACAGAAGCTTCATTCAACTGTCTGTTGTTCAAATTATAAACTCGGCTAAATAAATCAAATTAGTTATCCTTTACTTCTAATTTTAAAATTGTTCTTACATATATGATCACAAAGTATTACAGCATAGAAATTTTCGAAATGTCAATTATTCAAATGTTTTAATGCAACTCACTTATTAAGTACAAGTCTGCATATTGTCTTTCAGACACACCGTTTTAGGGCTGACTGTAATATTTGGATACTCCACAATGATAGTTGGTGGGACGAGGTTTGAACTACCAATGTAAAGATGACAAACCAAGTATTGCAAACCACTATGAAACTGTCTCACATTCAAAAATAAATAGACGGCTTCTCAACATGAACTCAAACATTAAAGATATCAAATACCAGAGAAATAACTGGTTATGTGTGCCATTTTTTAGGATCTATTTCATGCAAATCTGAACTTACTAGTGTCCGTTCTAAATGTTTAGTTATTTTTAGGTTTGATTTGCTAAAACTTCCAACGCAATACAGTTTAACTAGTTCAACTAATAATCATCAGTTGTAAAAGATATTTTATATTTCATGAGATATTTATAATTTTCAAGATAGTAAACAAACTAACAGTTGAATACTCATAAATGCATACGAAATATAATTTGCCAACTATCATAGTTTCATTCTATATTAAAAAGGTTTTTTGAATCATTTACACTGTTTTTCATTAACTGAAAGATTACATATCAACTGTAATTACAAGATCTTGTCAAACCTGTGAAAACTATTTATTTATTTGAACACATAAATATTGGTACAAGAGGGCACCAGATATATATGCGCCACACAAAACAATGACAATGGGAAGAGAAAAAGAATGTAAGGTGCGTATAAGAGAGAAGAAAGGGAACAATAAGGACGACAGACTAGTGTATGGTAGTGTAATAATAATAATAATAATAATAATAATAATAATAATAATAATAATAATCTTTCAGTTAAGGAAGACACAACCACTTTTTTATGAAGAAAGTAAAAGAAGGTTACAGCAGGATCGCCATTGGCCTCTATTCTGAGCCATATCTGATAATGTCTCTAGCCACCGTGTTGCATCATCTCTCGGACCCCAGCCAGGGAGTCGTGAAGGACCAACACAAGCCAGCCCTTTGCAGCTTTTTTTCATACGACGACACCATGTCTTACACTGACCACCTCTCCGCTTTTTACAACCAGTCCCAGAGTCGGCAAATAATGCACAACGTGGAATTCTCTGGGACGACATTCGTAGAACATGTCTAAGCCACCGAAGGCGGTGTTTCAAGATGATGACACCAATCGGATTATCGTCTCTATGTCCGAACACACGATGCCGAACCTCTGCATTACTAACATGGTGTTGCCACTGAATGTCAGCAATCCTTCGGAGACAACGATGATCGAACACAGAGAGTCGTCTAACATCCTCAACTCGGAGAGGTCAGGTTTCACAAGCATAGAGCAAAACTGCTCTCGCTGACGCCACCACCAGCATTTATGTGGCTACCTAGATACACGGACACAAATAAAATGAAATGACAATGTGAAAACCGTCATATTCATTGATTTCCAAAGTTCTCTCAAATGCATTTGTACAACTGTCATGATATTATCATGGTCCTTCTTGAAGTACATAGTTAAATCTCCTTCGGATATAACTTCAAGTCAAAATGACTGATTAATCTTTTGTAACATCAAACAAATGATGATTAACTCAGGCACTAACCCTAACCAAGAGAACGCAAATCTTTGAAGCAATCCGAGTTGACTAGGTAGAAATTGGATATCAAAATCATTTACGTATATTAATTCCAGCTCCATTGTATTTTTGTACACTTATTTAGAATTATTATTTGAAATATCAACATATGAATGAACATAACTCGAAAACACACCGAATGAAATAGTACAAATTTTAGAAAACTTCAGAAAAACTTAAGATCAAAACTCACTCTATCCGGTGTATCACGGCACATGTTTGAAATAATATTTGTGGAAGACAATTGATAAATACGTTTAACAAGACTATCGCAGACAGTAGGGATTTCTGAAAAGTTGATGGTTGTCTTCATTTTTCCATGCATACTTTCATCAACTACACCAGGCTTCCGCAAAATACTACATGAAACACGAATACATTGACATACAGATTTCACAGCGTCATCAATGGTCATTAGTGAATTAGCAGTGCCCGATGCCAACAAACTATCATCAGAAGCCCCAGACAATACATCGTGACACCTATTGATAGAATCCACCAGATGAATCAAACCTGAAGACCACCGACGAAGCGGATGATCACATTCGGGAGCGTAGCTGGAGTCCCCTAACCTCATGCGACCAACAAATGAGATGGCTACCTAAAACAACGAGAATATTATAGTGAAAATTCCCATTTTGCCATCATGGCTCTGCACTAATATATATGTTTTACAATAATAATATAATACTCATCGAGTGGATACGTTACGCAATAATTACATGATGACATTTAAATTAACATTGAGTAATTGGAAGAAAGAGGATTATTAATATTCAAAGTAATTATTAAATCAAGAAGTTGCTATGTTGCGTAATATAAGAAACAGAGAAGGAACAGAATTTTAACGGATGTTCAATAGGATAGTAGTTACTTAAAAGTCAAGAGATCAATGCTGAGAAGTTATAAAGTTCAAAAGCAATAGAAACAAAATTACAAAAATTAAAAAAAAAGAAGTGGAAGAAGTATGAAAAATCGTTCTTATGACGGAAATCTTATACTGAAGGCCAGGGCAGAGAAAGTGGTTGTACGAATTTCTTTTGGTTTGGTCAGGTTTGTGAACATGGATTGCGATGGCTTCCGCAATGTGCAAAAGGTGCACTCGTAAACCATGTGGTAGATTTGATGGAATATTGTAGATAACCTTAAAAGCTTTATTCAATCCGACTTGATGAAGTGTGTCAACCAATTGAGAGAGAATAGAACTTTTAATCACTTTCACCTGTCCTTTGCTTAGTCATGTCGGATGATGTTCTGTAATGCGGTGACGGACCTGCCGAATTGTACGCCCTATGTAACTGGCTCCACAGGAGCAGTTGAAACGATAGATAAACATAGATTTGGCGAATTCTGGCAGTCTGTCTTTAATGGATGTTCTTATTTTCGGGTGGTTGTAGAAGATGAAAAACTAATTGAAAAGAAATTTCTTCGCTCAACGAGAATATTAGTTGTTGGAGTAACCTAATGCAAAATATAGTAATGAAATAGAAGACAGTTTGTTAATTCAATCAAATCAAGTTGCTGAAAAGCGATTATGAAACTGCTTAAGTGTAGAACGGACATATCTGTGCGAATTCCACAATGTCGATGACTGACTGGATTCTACTCATACAACCTGAAACTTTAAAATGAAAAAAAATCACAAAAATATAACAGTAGGTTATTATTCAAAAACGTTCATCTCCACTAATTGCGATAGATTCCAAAAAAATATAATTCAAGTTAATATAGGTGTAAATGCACTAACTTGAGTAACTGATAGATTATCTTGTCGAGCCAATTTTCGAAGCGATGTAAAAGTTTGTTCATTCAATGCTCGGTAAGGTAGGTTAAATATTCTTAAAAAACGTAAGGAATCCTTAATGTTAACTGCAAGTCCAAGATAACTGAGAAGGGTTTCAAGTAAGACACATTCCTAGATAAGTAAAATAAGTATAAAAAGATGACTTGCCTTGTATCGGGTGTTGAAATCAATCTCACATTGCCGAAGACAATAGAATTTGCTTTCAGTAGTTGAAAGACATGGAAAGCATAGGTGTGGTACATTAAAATCTGCCATAATTTCAACCATTAGATGCTATTTGATTGTATTTTATAGCAATCAATCAATTGATTACCTCAAACCAATCTAATTTGTTCGACTGAACAATATAACGATAGTAGAATAACTTGGTTTTCAGTGCAGAATTTTCAAAGAATTCCTTCAACAAGCGACGAGCAATTAAAATCCGGTCAACTAAATTATTAGCCTTCAGGTATTCGTCAACCTTAGTACAAAACACGTATTCATTGTCGTCTACAAGAATTCGATGCCGATAAAGACGATGGCGACACATTCTATACCAAAAACGCGATATGTCTTCTTGTTTTATAGGGTACTGTAGGCATAAAGGTTTAAGGCAAATGTGCAAACTTTATCTTTGTCAAAATCACGTAAGACAAGTTGAATTAGCGTCAATTCGTCCTTGGGCAATATGTAGGTTTCTGTTGAAGAACCCTCAAGATCGAATTCCTGATGGGTTTCATAAAGAAACTGGATCAGAGAATAGACGTTCTCATAGGCTTCTGATCCCCCGTATGAATTTAAACCAATAAAAACAGGTGGATAATTTGACATACTCTAAAGTCCCATAAATAATGATCCGTTGTGCATGAAATATTAAAATTCAGTCCCAACAGAGGAATCTGTAAAATGGAAATAGCGTTGGTTGTCTTTTTGAGCAGAAACTTCACAATTTTTCAATCTTGGGAAAAAATTTTCCAACTTCATGAAAACTTTGTAGAGGTTTCAAAAGAACTTTTTGGCACGTGTAGTGAAAGTCAGGGTAGCATGTGCCAATCTGGGCCACCCCTGGCACCTTTGTGGTTAGTATGGCTATAAAAGGTCAGAACAACGAATCAGTGAGAGCAGTCCTGCTCTATGCTTGTGAGACCTAGCTTCTCCGAGTTGAGGATGTCAGACAACTCTGTGTTCGATCGTTGTCCCCGAAGGATTGCTGACATCCATTGGCAACACCATCTTAGTAATGTAGAGGTTCGGCATCGTGTTCGAGCAGAGCGATGACAATTTAGTGTCACCATCTTGAAATACCAACTACAATGGCTCGGATATGTCCTACGAATGTCGTCCCAGAGAATTCGTCGTGCATTATTTGCCGACGCTGGGATTGATAGAAAAAAGAGAAGTGATCAGCAGGACATGGTGTTGTGGCATGAAATTTGCACAGGACTGGCTTCTATTGGTCCTTTACGACTACTTAGTTGAGGTTCTAGAGATGGGTCAACATTGGTTGATACCTTGTTAGACGTGGCTCAGAACAGAAGTCAGTGGCAATCCTGCTCTAAATTTCATCGAAATGAACGTAAATTCTGTACTTGAAATAATTATCTACGGTTACACTTTTGCTAATCGAATTGTTTCTACATTATCATTATTATTCCACTCATACACTAATTTCTGTTTTTTGTTGCTCACTTATTATACGCGCTTTACATTATCCCTTCACAGCCTCATTATTGTGTGGCACGTGCGTATTTGGTTCCCCTTATAACCACTGCTTGTGTTTAAATGAATTTAATAAAAACCCTCAAATTCCAGTAAGACTGAGGTTATTCCCCAGAATTTTAAATAATTTCGAAGAAATTCACAAAACGTTTAGAGGAAATTTAGGTTTTCTCCAAAATTACCAAAATATTTGAGAAAATTCATTGAAGTTCACCAATAAAAATTTTAAGCTTCCCCACAGTTTAGGAAAAAACGTATGAACTTCATTGCGAAGCACCCAGAACTTTCTGTGTATATAAGCGTTTTTTTATTTGCAGTTTATTTCGCAAACTTAACGCAATTAAAATATGGTCGCGCGATTGTTTTTAACATCAACTTGTCTGTTGTAACAAACATTTATAAAGCCGTGATTAACGTCGCTCGCATAAACATTCCACAAGTAACTACGTAAATGATTCTTGGGAGATATAATGTGGACATGCAAACAATTAGTCAGTCAGCTACAACGTAGGACCAGGCACATATATACATCGGTTCCAGTTGCCACACCTCATTAGCACAACAAGATGAACACCAAATTCATAGCAGTTACTTTACTGGTAGTAATATACAATATTTGTGTTCAAATAAATAATAATGAATAAGTAATATATTAAAAAAGAATGCATATAAGGACACAGGAAGAAAGAATTAGCTCATAGAAAGATATAAACCAATTTTAATCTCACAGTTTAAGGGAAGATAATGAGTGCATACACCTACATCATTGTGATCGATTCTGAGCGATGTCACATACAGTCTCAAACCATTGGTTACGATAGTCGCGCTGACCCCAACTAAGTAGTCTGCATCTACCGACATGCCACAGACCAGAAGTCAGTGACTCCAAGGAGTGATGCCTCGTTTCGGTGTGGCCGTCACTAACTTTTTTCCAACCAACCCCAACAGTAGTCAGCATCGCGCGTCTTGGTAATCGGTGTTCAGCCATACGTTGTTGTTTCTCTCTAGACAGTGGGGTGTTGCTTGCTTTCCCCTGGTGTATGGGAATGTATGGGGAAATATTAGTAGACACCCAGCTCTGAATACCGTCACTTAAACTAACAGACCAGGAAAAATTCTTGAATTTCCACACGCATTTCCCCAGGATTTCCATAAAACTTAGTGGAACAAAATTTCCCCATAGTAAGGTAATCGGATGTTAATCAATTAGCAATAATGCGAGATAAAACACAAATGAGAATCGGGAAACTATAAACAAACATAAAGCATGAAGTCAATAATAAGTGCATGTACCTGAAAAGGGAGGAATAAAATAAATTTGAATTACGCCCAGTCAACGCTCCTGGGGTATCGTCCACTGACAGGGGTTACGAGCACTTGAAGGTCAAACTGTCGCAAGATGATTGGTGCGTCACATCGACAATTCGTGAAAATTTTCAGAAGCGAACAAATCAAGACATTTTTAGGTTTGAATTGAGTTCAGCCACACCATGTCTGTTCATTCTTCAAGTAACAAAGACGATGCCATCGTGATGATGCATGATGTAGGACGAATCTTCAATGACATATAGTGACTTAGGAGTTATCGTTAGTCAAGACTTAAAGACTACTGCACACTGCCGTGCAATAGCCGCCAAAGGCATTAGAATGTTATGGTCAATACGTAGAGCTTTTAGTCATGTCGACGCTAAAACGTTTTTGACTTTGTATACAGTGTTCGTTCGTCCTAAACTTCAGTACTGCATACAAGCGGCTAGCCCCTGCTTAAAAAAAGACAGTGAACTCCCAGAGAAGGTTCAGAGAACGGCGACTAAGCTGATTCCCGGAATAGCGAAGCTTCCGTATGAATCTCGACTGGCCAAGCTGAACCTTTTCCCGTTGTCATATCGCAGAACTAGAGGCGACTTGATTACAGTCTACAAATTGCTTAGTGATAAATTTGCACCTGATATGCCCTCATTTTTCTTGTCTTTCAAAACAGAGAATTTAGGAGGACACTCCAAAAAAGTTCATAAGCCAAGAACAAATTACTTGTCAGCTGACTATCGACTTTCACATCGAATCATCAACGAGTGGAATTCACTACCTCAGCACGTGGTTGAGGCTCCATCCGTCGACTCTTTCAAAAGAAAGTTGGATTAACTGAGACCACCATTGCCAGGACTAACATAGGCCACCGAGCCACCTGTCCTTCCCAAACTGTAAATATTATGTTATCTCGTAGATTTACAAGTTGGGACAATCTTGAGACCTGTTTGAAAGAAGTACATAAGGTAATATGACTTCTGTGGTTAATAATTACTTTGTTAGTATACGCGTACTGAGTATGTTATGTCAGTGTGCAAAAAGAACAGTGATGATCCAACTTTAAAGTACTTTTTCGTGAGATATGTCTGTACATATGGACGTAAACGCAGTTCGTCAGAGTCAGATGCTTGCGTTCAGGATATAGATAATGATAGTAATCCTCATTCTTCTGAAGAGCGTACAACTTCTAACTCGCCAACACAACCTAGGTAAAGGAGACGACGTCGTTCATCTACGTATGCCTTCAAATGAATTTATCCTTCAGGTCGAAATATTGCCATTGTCAATCTGGATTTTGGGTCCGGGCAGTAAATGGTGAGCTGAAAGTCACCTCTATCAAAACCGTGCACAACCATCCTTGCACAGAAGGATATATTTCTGTCGATCCATCGAGACGACAGTTGACGTCAAGTGAACGCTTGTAATTAAGAACGTTTCTACTGAGTAATACACCAACACGTAGATTACGGCATATGGTTTCTTGGAAATTCCATAACCAACTTACAAAGGACGATATCGCCAAAATGAGTTCATAGTTATACCCAGGTTGTTGAACTCACATTGCAATTAATTGGGTTTAGACATTAAAAATATCAATGACATCTTACAGCGTGTTCAAGTGAACACTGAAGTAAAAGTATTCAATGAAAATGGGAATATATCTATGATTTGCTTCAGCGTCAAGTAGCAAATAGCTGTTTACCACGCGTTCCCAGAGGTAATATGCATTGATTCGACTTATCAGACCAACAAAGTTGGGTAAGCAACGATCAGTAATAAATTTATCATGAAGTTTTCCACTGTTCCAGCTATTGGTGATTGATAGTCTTGGGCAAGAGCACACAATTTTGTATGCTCTTTGAAGGCAAAAACGACGCTAAAATGTCGTAAAACTATTGCAATGCTTTAAAGACATAATGTGCGTTTGTGTGTGTTCCTTTGTCTCTGTAAGCTTTGCAGACTTATTTCGACATAGTGTAGCGTGGTGTCGAGTTGAGATTAACTGTGAACACCGCTACCAAGAAACACGTGCCAGATAAATCAGAAGGCGAGGATCGAACGTAACCAGATTTATTTCGTTTGCGATCTCGTGGTATTGAACGAATACCGAGATCGTGCCAAGAAGTGGTACAAGTGGAAGCAGAAGACAGGAGTACGTGCGAACAGTACCGAAAACCGCGGAACAATGATGGAAGGTAATGGAAGCACAAAATGGCTATAATTAGCACAGTTAAACAAAAGCACATTAAAACAAACACTGGTACAGTTGGTTATAATAATAATTGTTTTTATTAAACCAGTCGTGTTCTCGTGATAAACGTGAGTCACTACAGGAGCCCCCCGCTAGAAAGGGTTTACACTTTCGATAAATAGCGGTTTGAATCGTGGGACTGATCGGCTGACGACCGATTGTAGGACGGAAGAATTGGCGAACAGGAAAGCGATCGTTGATCGTCGAGTTGCCAACGAAGGTCGTTTTCGGAGAACGGTACCAGGAGCGATGTGCTGTATTTGTTGCTTGAATTGGCATGCTACACCAGAGTGGTTTGTATCCAGAATCTGAAGAGGGCGTTCGTAGGGAAAGCGGACCAGAAACGCTGCAGACGAAGGACGAAACCACGTTGAGCCAAAAGACCAGAAGCGACCGTAACGACCAAGTTCGAGACCAAGCGTGTGCCAAGCATTCGAAACCAATATATCGACTGAGTGCGTTGACAAGAGCATGGGTGATCAGGCTAGCCTTCGCCAAAGTTGACTGAAGTCGACGGAACCAAGCGGAGATGGTCGAAGGCGTGGGCTCAGGA